AAATGTAAAATCAAACGTAGTTAAAAGTGAGCCGTTATATCCTGAAGCCCAGCGGGTTAATTGTTGTGTAAATTTAAGCAAACAATTTCATTACTTGTAATAAAAAGAGTGAAACTGAAGTTAGACTTGTGTTTGTAACTGAACCATGTTTTGTAGCTTTCTGGATTTTATACTTATTGGGCTGCATATTTATTTATTATACAGGCTATACCAGGGGTCGGCAACCTTTTTGATGATGAGTGCCATCTAAATTTCCTCAGAAGTCAATGTGCCATATGATTGCATTAGCAATAGATTTAATAACGCTCTATATCAACAGTTACACACTATATAGGACAACTTTATAGAATTATATTTGAATATTTGTTCGCAGATGTTGGCAGCTATCAGTGAATAGTTATCAGCTATTATGAAACAAAAAAAGACTTTTTATCCATAACAGCAAATGAACTGTACAACAGAAAATGCAAATGCTATTTATGGTCTCCTCACAACAATGATAAGAAAAATAAACTGGGCCAATATGGCATGTTTGTTAACACAGAGATACACATGTTAATGTGATCTCTGGTCTCCAGCATTCAGACGGCTACCTGAGGACAGTCATGTGAGAGAAAATCTGCTCACACAGACATGTAGAGCCAAGGGGCGATCGTGGCTCAAGAGTTGGGAGTTCGCCTTGGAAGGTTGCCGGTTCGAGCCCCGGCTTGGACAGTCTCGGTCGTTGTGTCCTTGGGCAAAACACCCGTTGCCTACTGGTGGTGGTCAGAGGTGGCGCCAGTATCCGGCAGCCTCGCCTCCGTCAGTGCGCCCCAGGGCGGCTGTACCTTGCCATCACCAGTGTGTGTGAATGGGTGGATGACTGGTTGTGTAAAGCGCTTTGGGGTCCTTAGGGACTAGTAAAAAGCGCTATACTGTCAATAAGGCCTCTGCAATGTTCTGAAGACAGTTAAAGTTGTCAGGCAGTGATGTCCAGCAGGTGAAAATGCAGCTCCATGAACACACACAGCTGTGGATTCCAGCTGCATTCGTAGTTCTGCAAACTTTGACCCCACAGAGTCGAGCTTTTCAGTTCAATCAGCTGCATTTCGATGTCCTCTGTTTCCAAACAGCAGTGTTGGGGAGTAACGGAATACATGTACCGCCGTTACGTATTTAAAATACAAAATATGAGTAACTGTATTCCGTTACAGTTACCGTTTAAAAAGGTGGTATTCAGAATACAGTTACTTTGTTGAAATAAATGGATTACACTGTGGTACTTTCCTGTTTCATATTGTCGAGGGTCAGGACTGTTTGGGTTTTGTTTGACAGCTACGTTCTGTTGTTCCAGGCGGCAGCGTTACGGTTGCCATGGTTACAGGGCGACGCTCTCTCTCTCTGCGACTGTGTGTTTCCTGGGTGAGAGAGCGCCTTTTCGTTGTTGTTGTTGTTGTTGTGCTAAGCTAACAGGCAGAATGCTACAAGCATAGCTCTAAAGAATGTAGCATCATGGGTAGTGTAGTCCGTGCTGCTGGGAGAATGGGCTGCCATACACGTTATGGGTCTGTGAGCGAGGAGGGAGAAAAAGGGGAGTGGAAAGGTACGAGTTGTCGTCGAGGAAAAACGGGAGCTGGAAGCATGTAAATATAATAATAACCACTGCAGCCAAGAAGAGAGCCTGACGAGCCCAGTTGTAAGTAAGCTATTAAGACTCGACTGTACACCGTGTTCGTGTTTTCCTCCGAAAACAATAAGTTCTGTTGGAGCAGCCTTTCAACGCCTCTCTCTGTCTCTGCTAGCAAAGTTGACCCACACAACAAAGTAAAGCTATTTTTCGGCTACGAGCCGACAGGGACCCCGCCGTATTAGTCAGAGGTCCCTTTACTACAGTTCGGAGTCGCGGACCTTCAGTAATAGTAATAAATCACACAGCAATAGTACATTCACGTTGTTGTAAAAAGCATGATAATATATTAAGTAATCCAAAGTATTCAGAATACGTTACTGTCATTGAGTAACGTAACGGAATACGTTACAGAATACATTTTGGGGCATGTATTCTGTAATCTGTAATGGAATACATTTTAAAAGTAACCTTCCCAACACTGACAAACAGTTAATGCGAGACAAATCCAGCTGCTCATTAAAGCTTTCTGGATTGATCGAGTTTACGGATGTATCCGTGTATCTCCGTGGTGCTGATGCTGCGCTGAGCAGACAGCTCCTGAAGTGTCAGAATGTGGAAATTTCAACATCGCTTGAAAAAACTGCCAGCTAGCAACGTCCCTCTCACTGGTAGGCTAAGTTATTTTTAGCTAATTACAAGTTGAATCTGGTAGTTGGGGTTGTTAGCTAAGATACTGTCATTATGAAGCGGCACAACTAATGTGTCTATGCAACAAGGGCGTAGATTTGGCATTTTAAATGAGAATAAGAAAGAAAAGTATTTCTTTGTGCCCCCCTCTCCCTGTTAATGCCCTACCTGCCCCCCTGGCAACACTTTGCTAGACCCGCCCCTGCACAGTTACCAGCTGTCAGCTACATAAAAAAGGATCCTGGTGTTATTTGTCTCTCAGAAACAGTTCATAACTTCAACTCATCCATGTCACCTAAAAGGTAAACCTGTTTCTCCATCACCTGTTCAGCTCTGATGATCCAGTAAGGACATCTCCTGGTTTCATCTTCATGTTTCCCTCTCACCACATATCCAAACCGACATCATGACCAGCAGCTTTACAGCTGTGGCTCCAGCAAACATCAGCTGATACTAGAAAGTAATATTAAATAAATTCTAACAACAGCTGATCAAACGTGCTGCTGTTGTTTAACGCGACATCTGCTGGTTTCCTCTTTCTGGCACAAAGTGAGAGATAAACAAGAGAGAAAAGCTGATCAGCTGATCATTGATCAGTTTCATGATTGAAGGAGCAACAGGAGAGGGAGGGGGAGGATGAGAGGAGAAGAAGCAGCTGTGCAGCGTAAAGACGCAGAAAAACTGCAGCTTTGTGTCTTTTTCCATTCTAGCTGAAGTCCGGGACAAACTGTGTTTCTTTTCACCTCAATACCAAACGCATAATAATTTCTCTGAATACAAAACGATTCTGTTTTTTACAGGACGGTCATGCCGACCACAGAGCTAGCCTTCCTGATCAGTTTCTCCAGCCTGGATGAGTCCCTCTTTGCTGTGCTGCTCCCCCAGCACACCACAGCATAGAAAAGTACTCCAGCAACCACCGACTGGTAAAACATCCTCAGGAGCTTCCTGCAGATGTTAAAAGACCTCAGCCTCCTGAGGAAGTACAGTCGGCTTTGGGCTTTTTTATACAGGTGCTCTGTGTTGCATGACCAGTCCAGTTTATTGTCCACCCACAGCCCGAGGTACTTGTACTTGTTGACCACCTCCACCTCCTCCCCCTCTATCTGAACCGGCAGTGGACCTTCTCTGGACCTCCCGAAGTCCACAACCAGTTCCTTAGTCTTTGAGGTGTTGAGTTGCAGGTGGTTTGTGTGACTCCATGCGACAAAGTTCCTCACCAGACTTCTGTACTCTTCCTGATCATCCCAGATACACCCCATGATGGCCGTGTCATCTGCAAACTTCTGAATGTGGCATAATTCAGAGTTGTAGCAGAAGTCAGAGGTGTACAGGGTGAAGAGAAGAGGGGACAGCACAGTTCCCTGTGGTGCTCCTGTGCTGCTGACCACAGTGTCAGACGTGATGTCCTTCAGCCTGACGTACTGTGGTCTGTCGGTGAGGTAGTCTGAGATCCAAGCCACCAGGCAGGGGTCCACCTGCATCCTGTTCAGTTTTTCCTGAAGCATACAGGGCCAGATGGTATTAAAGGCACTGGAAAAGTCAAGAAACAGGATCCTGACTGTGCCTTTTCCCCCATCCAGGTGTGAGTGGGCTCTGTGTAGGAGGTACAGGATGGCATCCTCCACTCCGACACCCGCCTTGTATGCAAACTGTAGTGGGTCCTGGGCATGTTGTACCTGTGGTCGGAGGAGGTTGAGGAAGAGCCGCTCTAGAGTCTTCATAAGATGTGACGTCAGTGCCACCGGTCGGAAGTCATTCAGCTCATTGGGCCGGTTCTTTTTGGGGACCGGGACGATGCAGGATGTCTTCCATAGGGCGGGCACTCTCCCCAGTCGCAGACTGAGATTGAAGACTCGTTGTAGCGGCTCCCCAAGTTCAGCAGCACACGCCTTTATGTATGTGTTGTGTTACTTTACAGATTATTTATCTTCAAACATAATTAGTTACTTTATTACTTAGTTACTTTTTAAAAACATGATACACAACCTGAATAAGTAGAATGTAGAAGAATGGGAGGCAGAGCCTTCAGTTTTCAGGCCCCTCTTCTGTGGAACCAGCTTCCAGTTTGGATTCAGGAGACAGACACTATCTCTACTTTCAAGATCAGGCTTCAAACCTTCCTTTTTGCTAAAGCATATAGTTAGGGCTGGACCAGGTGACCCTGAATCCTCCCTTAGTTATGCTGCAATAGGCTGCCGGGGATTCCCATGATGCACTGGGTGTTTCTTGTTCACTCACTATGTATTAACAGACCTCTCTGCACTGAATCATATATGTTATTAACCTCTGTCTCTCTTCCACAGCATGTCTTTATCCTGTCTTCCTTCTCTCACCCCAACCAATCACAGCAGATGGCCCCGCCCCTCTCTGAGCCTGGTTCTGCCGGAGGTTTCTTCCTGTTAAAAGGGAGTTTTTCCTTCCCACTGTCGCCAAAGTGCTTGCTCATAGGGGGTCATATGATTGTTGGGTTTTTCTCTGTATGTACTGTACCATGAAGCACCTTGAGGCGACTTTTGTTGTGATTTGGCGCTATAAATAAAATAGAATTGACCTTTCAGCCCAATTCTATTTTCCTGCATAATCCATCACAATGTAATCAAATAAAAAAGTCTCTTTTTAAAATTTATTTTATTTGTTTTAATCTTTGCATCAAGCAAATATTAAATTATATGCAACAGTGTTTAAAAGTGTTTAACTTGTTTAACATTTAACCTATCACCTGCAGCATATAAAATAAAATCGTGTTTTGTGTATATACTCTTTCCAACAGATGAAAGTAAAACACATCAGAAAAGAAATAAAATCACAGATTCAGCAGCACTGAGTCGTGTTGCTCTTAAATTTATTGTCACCAGTTTAGCAGGAGTGGGGCGGGTGGAGGTTTGCCCACAGCGGTCATGTCAGTGGGAGGATCCGGGGGTTTCTCTGTGAATGTCACGTTCCCGTGGCAGCGTGCTCGCTGCTCGCTCAGATCTGAAGTTTAATGTTTCGCTGTAAGAAGTTTTCTTCCCACGCAGAGTGTACAGTGGACGCTAATGTTTTTATCACTTTTTATGGACTAAAACTCAAAGTAATGTGAGTACTTCCACGCTTTAAATGCTGCATGGTCGTACTTTCACGGTCATGGCGATGACCATCCCGCCACATTCTGCCCCCTGAGGGTGAAAACCTGCAGCTCCACGCCAGAGAGCTGCAGGAAGTGTGATTTAAGAAACTTTATTTCAGAATAAAATAAAAGATGTAATTTCCTCTGAGACCCTCGGTGTGGCTCAGGGACAACAAAAGGTCAAAATTCACACAACTAACGAGCTAAAGAAGATCAGGTGGAGGACGAGCAGCCCCAGGTTCAAATCCTCACACACACAGACATGAACCAAAGCTGTGTGTCTGTGTCTGTGTGTGTGCGTAGGTCAGTTCATTGCACATCAGGTCTGACACTGAAGCGTCACATGTGACCAATGACAGCTGCTCAGCTGCTGGGCTCCGCCCCCTGAGCGTGCTGCTGTCGGTCCACCTTGTAGAACTGGTGTTTCTGGATGTGCCGGTACAGCGTGGTGTATTTGGACACCCTCCTCATCCTCGGCAGGATGAAGGTGTGGGTGAAGTCGTCTCTGCTCAGAGCGCCGCGGCCCTCGGCTGCCAGAACGCCGTTCACAAAGTGCAAGCAGAAGCTGAAGCAGTTGTGGTTGTTTTCATCAAACCTGCGACACACAGAGAGAAAAGCTGTCGACAGATTTCTACACCTGCAGGTGATGGTGGTGATGGTGGTGAAGGCGCCGTGGCGGCGAAACACGCCTGTGTCTGGCGACCACCGCGGGTCACCTCGAACCTGTCTGACAGCGAGGGAGGCTCATAACGACAGAACGCGTTCAAGCTTCCTGCCTTCAAACAGCTCTCAGGTAAACTGTCAGGAAGGTCAGGTGTGAGTTACCTGTGCCAGGCAGGGTCCCACATAGGCCCGTCAGAGAAGCGCTCCAGGTACTGGTCCCACTGAGCGAGCAGGTGGAACATGTCGGGTCGGACCAGAGGGACGCTGATGCTGCGCTCCCAGCCGCTCTGATCCCTGCGGACGCCGCCACGAGTGTAGTTATACACAACACCTGCACACAGGTAGGAGGAGCTGATCACTCTGATCACTGGCCACGGGTCATCGATCACATTGATTATTGATCATTGTTTGGCTGCAGAGCTGAAATCTGTCAGGCGCTGCGGGAGGATCACATCACATCTGTCTGAGATGAATGATTCATAACGTTAAATTTAGAGAACATAAAAATAAATTATTTATAAAATCTAAATTATTAAAATTAGGAGATTTAGTGAAACCACGGACACTATTAATTACGTTTAAGGCTAAAAAAATAATATTTTGCCTTTTAAGTTACAAAGAGTATTTTTAACGTGTTCGGGGGGAGAAGACAGAAGGAAATTTTATTTTAAGCGTCAGCTACACAAAGATTAATGAGTCCAACGGTTAGAGGTATACGACTGTGGAAGTGTCTTCATCATCATTTAAAGAGTTGTATAAATTTACATTGTTTTAAAAAGTGTTACATGTATAAAATTAAAATTAAAAAACTAAGCTGTAGTGCCTCTTCACCTCACTGTACAATACCTTGTGCAATACTTTTTGTAAATAGTCAACAGTGCAATAGACTCAATACTTGAAATGTGCAATTCACTTGTATTTTTATTTTTTATTCCTATTTATTCTATTTATCCCCTTTGTATATTTTATTTATATTTGTCTCTGTATATATATATATATATATATAACAATTCTGTAACTGTAACTTCGGTCGGTGCTGTGCTTTTTGGAAGTCGAATTTCCCAGAGGAACCCACCCGAGGGATTAATAAAGTTCTATCTTATCTTATCTTATCTTATCTTATCTTATCTTATCTTATCTTATCTTATCTTAAAACGATAACTCAATATGAAATTGGAGTTCACTGAAAAAGGATCCATTATTTTATTTACTCATCTTTTCTCCTTGTTACTATGTGGAGTGGTATATTCTGATTGTAAATGTGTTGTTAGGACCGGAGATAAATGTTAATGTTAGTTTGTTCCTTGACTTTTGGTGCCCGCTTGCAATATAAGTTGGATTGTAGAGAGGGGGCGGGGTTTAATAAGAATATTTTCTTCTTCCTGCTGCTTTTCACACGTGGTTGCTTTACTGATAGAAAGTGTGGTTGGTTTGTCTGAAAGAACTAACTGTGGAAGCTGTTGACCAAGTGTGAAATAAATAAATGAAATGTTTAAACGTGTCTGAAAGTTTGATTTTGGTGTCAGTCGGTAAAGTCGCCGACTGACACCGACGCTCTGCACTCGCCTTCGTCCTTCCTGTCGCCGTGACCGAACTGAGACGTGGTTGAACGTCTTTGATTAGATGAAATCAGGGATATGGCAGGTCGGGGGCGTGGTCAGCGATCATGTAGCGTCCTATTGCGAGAGGATGGTGACTGTCTGCGAACGTTTGATCTGAAGCTGAAACGACACCTGACCAAGCCTCCACCTGTCTGCTCGCACCTGAGCCCACGATCACCAGGTGACCTTTGACCTCAGAGACCTACCTTTGGTGTTGGAGATGCCGGTGTGAAGATCAGCCGCCCCATCAAAGTCTCTGAGGATCAAACAGCAGGATACACTGGTTAGACTGGGTACACTGATTGGACTGGTGGGATTGATTTAGTTATTCTACTGGGTACACTGGTTATACTCGTATCACCTGGTCCAGTATGATGACTGGTTCAAACTTCTTCATGTTCCTGTGGGTACACTGACTGTGTACCTGGCAGTGTGCTCACCTGTGTGTAAACACCTGAGTACCTTCACCTGTGTGTGTGTTACCTGTCCAGGTTGTCGTGTGCAGGTGTGACCAGCAGGCAGCAGGACGTCTTGTGCCCATTGGTGAAGGGGGAGGGGAGGCTGACTGGCGCCTCCTGCAGTCTGCTCCCCCTCAGCTCCTCCCCGCAGCTCGGGCACTGCTCCGGCACAGAGAAGCAGAAGATCTCCTTCTGACAGTGAGTCAGACGGATCACGCTGCGCTCCATCACCTCCTCCTCTCTCGTCTCCTCTCGTCCTGCTCCTCCGTTTCTCCTCTTTGACTTCTGCCTTCCTCTTCTTCTCTCCTTCTCCTTTTCAACCGTCTGCGCGGTTACAGCCTATCAGATAACATCACTGTCTGGCCCCAGCCTATCGGGTTGTGGGTGCAGTCACAAAGATGGTCACGTGACCAGGCTCACCTGTCACTTTTTCCCCTCGAACAAGGCGACCTTTGGACTGCGTGGGCAGTGTTGTCACGGAAACGGGACCTGAGCTGCAGTGCATTCTGGGATTTCAATGTCCTGTAATCACAGGCCTGCTTTCATTTAAAGAGCACATTTAAAAACACAAAATGCTGCACAAAAACAAAACAAAGAGCACATCAACTCACACCGCTCCAAACGGAAAAAGAGGCTTAAAAACAGGAAGCGAAGATGCCTGTCTCATATTTAAAGGCAACGTATTCCAAAGTTTGGGAGACACAGTTGAAAAAGTTCTCCTCCAAGTTCCAGCCTAGTTTTCGGGACAACCAAAAGCAGCTGGTCAGCTGATCTAAGGGCCGGCGAGGGAATACAAGGCTGAAGAACATCAGAGAGGTATGGAGGAGCAGGACCGTTCATAAGCCAATGTTAAGACTTCTGTGATAAACAGGAAGCCGACGATGAGAAGATGCTGCGTGTGATAGTGAAGAGACGGGCAGCAGCATTTTGAATAAGCTGAAGACGTTACAGCAGGAAGTGCCATACAAAATAAAAGACAGAGAAACTTGAGAACAACTGTCATTATTTCCAGAGAACAAGGAGAACAGCCGGCTTTGACTGCAGTCGTCACTGAGCTGTGATTGGCCGAGCACACAGGACACGCCTCAGTTTCTCCGTCTCACCTGTCAGGAACACCTGATACACGAGCTTCGAAGTCAGATGACAGATTTGCATCTCACTGGAAGTCGACCAATCACATTTCACTTAGATGGAAACCAGAGGTTCCCGTCACTCTGACACAGTCAGAAGATCTGACATCATCCGGTTTTATCATCACGTTGAACGTGACTGAAGCAGCTCTGCTTCAGGGCAGCTTCCTGTCCTGAGACTCTGATCGTCTCTTCCATGTTTTGGTTCTGCACCAGATGAGCCGATCGCATTTCATTTCCCCGATCTCCTGCACGACGACACGGCTGACCAGCCCTCCCCTCCGTCAGCACCAGCTGCTGCCTGTGGGCCTCAATCTGCCAATTGCAGTGACTTTTACTTTCCACAGTAAAACAGACCTTTCAGCTTTTATTTTGAAGAGCTGGATGTAAATGTGCTCGTCAGCACTCGGCTCAGCTTCTGTAGTTTTAATGTGGCTGTAAATAAAACAGGCACTATGGAAAGATTCAGGCGTGTTTCACAGCATGTCTGTGGGATCGCACATACCGACCTCATCATCAAACACACTGCTGCTTGCGCTCTATCTAACCTATTAGTGTTAGGTGGGGTTGGGGGGGCACCGAGGCTCTCATTAGTTCCCAGAACTTAAAAAAATTGTGCAAACTCGTTGCCTCAAAAAAAGTAATGCTTACTGAAGATAACGACATCGTGCTCAAAGTTTCTGACTGTGCAGGACGAACTTTTACCCTCTGACAAACATTTCAGCTTCTACTACATTCAAAAACTATTTGTGGTAACTTTTTAAAATTTGCTGACACACTAATTAAATGCAACTAAATCACATTATGTTTGATCTCGTTGAACTTTAGAGATTTCTGGTACAACATTTAATATAAACACTGTATGATTTAAACATAATAATTAACAACAAACTTTTATTTTCAAATCCACAATCAGGTGATCATCCAACATCCTGTTCTACTGAACAGCAAATGAGTACAATGTCATCACTGTAGCTTTTGTTATTTAATTATATTTTAAATATTGTCATGGTCCTGAGTCTGAGGACTCGGTGTTTTGTGTTTCTTTACATTATTCTTTGTTCTCGGTTATTCTGTTTTGTATTTTGTTTAGGTTTGCTATGTGTTAGTGTTTTGTTTCATGCCTGCCTGTGTTCCCTCTGTCTGTCCATGGTGTTATTGTGTCTGCTCATGAGTCTGCCGGTCAAGTTCAGTGTCCTGTCTGGGTCTCTGTGTCTGTTAGTTTCCTGTTTTATTCTGAAAGTTCATGTCTCATGTCAGTGTGTTCAGTTTTACCTCTCCCCTGTCTCGTTAGCCTAATTGCTCCCAGCTGTGTCTCCCTCCTGTGGCCCATTCCCTGATTACTCCCCGTGTATTTAAGCCCTGTGTTTTCCTGTGCTCTCTGTCGCGTCATCTGTTTAATTCCTTCTCAGTCTGCATTATTCTGTTACCCGGTATTCATTCTGCGTCTCTCTGCCATCTCTCTTTGTGCATTTTGCTCCTCCTCCCATGAGTGTCTGGTTTAAATGGCCTGTAAATGGCCTGTATTTATATAGCGCTTTACTAGTCCCTAAGGACCCCAAAGCGCTTTACACATCCAGTCATCCACCCATTCACGCACACATTCACACACTGGTGATGGCAGCTACATTGTAGCCACAGCCACCCTGGGGCGCACTGACAGAGGCGAAGCTGCCGGACACTGGCGCCACCGGGCCCTCTGACCACCACCAGTAGGTAACAGGTGAAGTGTCTTGCCCAAGGACACAACGACCGAGACTTTCCAAGCCGGGGCTCGAACCGGCAACCTTCCGATTACAAGGTGAACTCCCAACTCTTGAGCCACGATCGATTTAAGTTTTGTTCTTTAGTTTTCCCAGTTTAGGTTTGTTTACTCCCCGCTCTGCTCTTCCTGTTTTGTCACCTTCTCACCGCTGTAAATAAACACTCACTCGCACCCCAGCCAGTACCTGCATTTTGGATCCTTTTTTCAATACACCACACGACTGCCCCCAGCCGTGACAAATATGATCACATTTAAATGTTATATTTAGTTGTTAGCCTATTTAATAATCTCACAATGAAACAAAGTCTCAGATGTAATTATTCTACACCAAGTTTAGGCTTCCTGTAGCTTTGTATTGTAGTTACATCACTGACATAATCAATATAAATGTATTTATTGTCTCCAGATCAAACAACACAGAAGCTGGCGTGTTGTAGTATGTTAAGGATGGTTTATTTCCATTACTGCCTGAAGAAAGTCTTTAACACTGTCCCAGCTTCCCTCCAGTACAGTGGCAGTGGCTGTGGGTTGGAGAGCCAATTACCTTGATCCTGCAGGTGACCATCTTCACTGACTGCACCACCTGTGACGGAGGACTCATCTCACCTGATGTAAGCAAACATATTCTTTAGAACACCGACTTATTTGCTTTCTTAAACGTTTTTCTTGTATTTGCTACAGAACAGACCTCAGGACAGACAATCGAGCTGCGTTATTACACTATTACCAAACAATATTGTAAGTTTGATATAAACATGATGCCATCCATCCATTTACTTCCACTCATCTGCAGCTAGGTCGTGGAGACTGGCAGTCTAAGCAGAGAACCCCCACACCTCCCTCCCCCGTAGCTCATCCAGGGGAACTCCAGAGTGTGCTGGTCCTGGGACACGCCCACAACCCCTCAGCCAGGAGGCATCCTAGTCAGACCACGTGAACTGGCTGCTTTCAATGTGGATGAGCAGCAGCTCTACTCTGAGCCCAGCTTGAGTGACTCTTCACCAGGATGGACTCCCTCCACATCACTGCAGCTGTGGCCCCAATCCATCCATCTCTCGTTCTCGTGAACAACACACTCCTCAACTTGGGGCACCAACTCATCCCTGATGCAGAGTGGGCACTCCATCCTTTTCTGGCTGAGGATCGTGGCCATAGATTTAGAGGTGGTGACTCTCATTTCAGCCACTCCACACTCAGTCGTGATTCGCTCCAGTGAGAGCAGGAGGCCACCACCTGATGGCTGACCAAGCCCAACAGAACCCCAACAGGACCCCTCTTCAGCTTCATGCTCATTACCACCAACAGGCACCAACCACCCTAAAGTCACAGCTCCTTGCAGCAGCCTCAACGATATCCATCCTCAGCAATGTTCCCTCACTGCTGGCACAGAAAATCTGCTTTGTGCACAAAAACAAATCTACCCTGAATTGAAATTAAAACTTTAACAATTCTGTTTTGCAGTGTTAGTCAGTGAGTGACTGGCTGATGCGATTCACATTCGTATATACGCAGCTAATCAACGTGGTTGACAGGCTATGACAGCGTCCTTATGTTAGTTGTTAGTTGTTTAGGGAGGGGAAGTTTTAGGAGTGACGGCGTGTTTGAGATGTGAGAGATTTGCGACGTTTAGCACAAATCTTGTATAGTTAGTGCGTAGTTAGTGTGTAGTTAGTGTGTAGTTAGTGTGTAGTTAGTGTGTAGTTAGTGTGTAGTTAGTGTGTAGTTAGTGTGTAGTGTAGTCAGTAGTTTTGTTGTGTGTGTCAGAACAATGAGGAGACTGCTGAGTGTTACAGGTGTTACAGCAGTGAAACATCTGCTGCTGTCAGGCCTGCAGGTATCAGGCTGTTGTTCTCCTTCATCTCATAGTGGACACAAATTATTTTTGGAGCGGCACAAATAATTTGTGTGGCATCAGATTTGATGCAGAACAGCTGATTGTTCTGTAAATAGTTTGAAATGTTTATTTAATAAACGCCTTGGCTGCATTTTTAGGTAAACAGCTGCAAAAAACTTTGTTGTTTGCATGACTCAGTTACTTTTTTGAAGAAGTAACTATATAATTAATTACCCAGCATTGGTCATTATTTACTGTATTTCCAGACAGAGTTACAGACTCTCTCCCAGACCACAGACTCACAATACAGTCAGAGCAAAAATAAATAAATAAAAAATTTAAAAAAGAAAGTTGTGTTTTCAAGTTATTTTTGCTTCCAGTAGTGTTAACATGCTGCACATGGACAAGATCTTTTTTAAATTCTCATTGTCAGTGGGCTAATCAGGTAATTAAAAGTCGTCTAACGTAAATGCTGTAATTTGATTATTTTAAATAGTCCAGTCTGTTTTTCTTAATGTTACTGTACTGGAGCAACTGTAACCCACATAATTTCCCTTGGGATTAATAAAGTATGCTGATTCTGAAAAGCTCGAGTAAAGCAGGCAACCTATGAGTTGTAATCTTATTTTCGATTAAAGACAATATTCGGTTTACCAGTTTACCACTCCAGCTTAGTCGACTCTTGGAGTCTTTTAAAAGCAGTTGAATACTTCCGGTTTAATCCACCCTTCTGCTGATATTCTTTCACTATTTGTGTTTTGTTGTTTTGTTTTGTTCTTGTGTGTGT